TAATATTATATCCTGAATAAGCAGGGCATTTTTTTCTCTGTCCTTTATTTTCTTTTCTGTGAGGGTTTTCTGTTGTGTAGTTCTCATCTGGTTTCACCCACATAGTTTCCAGGGGAGCATTTGATACACTGGATGAGATATACCACATTTGGTGATTTACATGTGTAGGATCTATAGATTATGATGATTTTTTGGGAGGGATGTTGATTGCTGTAGTACTGGAGAAATGCTGACAGGTTTTGCATTTATTCCTGAAATAAGATTCGGTCCCATTTGGAGTTTTGATCAGAGGGGGTAGGTTGATTGATGGATGGGAAGGCAAGAGTATCACTCTTCTGATCTATGTCAGTTAAGTTGATCTTTTAAAATATATTCACCTTATATAAGAGCCCCAGATCTAGCACTAGTGGTGTCTGTCTGTCTGTCTGTCTCTCTCTCTCTCTCTCTCTCTCTCTTTCTCTGCATCTGTGTGTGTGTGTGTCTGTCTCTCTGTGTCTCTCTCTGTCTATTAGATTATTAAACCACTGGAAAAGCCCTAACTTGCTATTGCTATCAGAATGAAAAAAAACATTAAAATGCTAACTAAAGAAATCATGCTCTCTGAGTGCAACAGTAGGTACTTTTATCACCACGGGAACCACTTCAAGATACTGTATATCTTTATAGACTGAAAGAACAGTGCTATATGCCTGCTGTCATCCAAAGCTCATGCTGTGAAAGAGCAAGCTTCCCTGAAAACCACTTTCTGGCATGTCACCTAAACCCTATTCACTTACCACTCCCTCCTTATCTGCTCTCCTAACACCTTTATTATTCTGTTCTTGTTTTCTTTGCTTTCATATGTACTGCCTCTTTTTAAAGAGGACCTACTACAGAATCACAGTCTTCCATTGCTTTGCAGACTGGCTGAAACATGAGACATTTTCAGGTTGTTAACTTTAAAAAAAAAAAATGGATTCCACACACTTCCTTGTACATTGTATCATCTTAAGTTGTTGGTGTAACATCTGTGCCCAAAAAAACAGACTCTTCTTTTAATATTTTTAATTTTGGTTTTTATTTTAAAAGATTAGCTTGTCTTTGTTAATTCTAATTTGAGTTCTGTGATAAGGGCTCCCTGGAGGGAGGAAATGGTTTGGAACGATCAGTTTCTTTTATAGAGCCTCTTATCAGTTGTCCAGTTTTTATTCACTAGCCATCTATGTCAGATTGAAGTTGGTGACATAAAGGCTGCTAAGCCTTTGTATTTCATTCCTAAATTTCTTGCTTGTTCTCTGCTTCTGCTGGGAGCAATCATGAGTCTGGATTGCCTTCTTATTTGGACTACTCATGTGAGTAAAGCCACTCATATGTTTTGCCTTGCAGGCTTGAGGCTACAGGAGTGACAATCACAAAACTTGGGTTCTCACACTTGTAACAGTTTTGTGAATCTCATCCTAAATTATTTTACTATTATCCAATAATAATAATAATAATAATAATAATAATAATAATAATGTTATATTAGGCTTGTTGTCAGGTCTGAGTCTAAGACTCTTTTTAAAATGAAAAAATGCTTACACAGGAAACTTTTCCTAAACTGAGAGCAAAGCCTTTCTTACTCAGCTGATGCAAAGAGAAAGAGTTGCTATAGTAGGCAAGAAAGAATTTGAGAAGAGTATAAAATCAAGCTAGCTGTGTTAGTGTAATAGCTGCATATGGCCAAGAGAGAAAGGGCTGCTGCAAGAGGATTAGAATTGCAAGATAATGGTGTCCCTGGAGTATTATGGGACTGCCTTTTGTCCTTGTGAATGATCAGTCTCATTAACCACAGTCCCTGGAGTCACCTTGTTGATCTCTTACTACTTTAAAAAAAACGCTTTAGATACAAATTATTTAAAGTAAATGCCTTTGCTTACCAGAAACTGCCACTTAGCATTGGAGTGCCTCAGCAGCTCATAGGGAGCAAGAGGCCTACTATTCTTAGCATGTCAAAGAACCAGTCCAAATGCTCTTGCCATCTAAACTGTGGTCTTTTATTCTTTCAGGACACCTGACTGACAGTGAATGTAATCAGAAGCATATTTCCAAAAAGGGCTCACTGACGGACCGCAAGAGGAGTTCTAGTCGGTCTCGGCGAAAAGGGGATGAAGCACAGTCTTCAGGGTATCACAGTGAAGGCAAGGGTTTTAGTTCCTTTTTCAGTTCCTCTTTGTATCAGTTTTTCTGATCCTCCATGTGTATGTGTATGTGTCTCATTGCTGCATGTCTTCCTGTCTCTGTGTTTTTGAGCGTCTTTGTCTTTGCTTTTCCCCTTCTGTATGATTTCATCTTGTTTAAAATGAAGTTATTTTTGTTCTTCTTGTTGCCTTTTTCTGTAATCTTTAGGGGAAACATTGAAGGAGAAACAAGCCCCCAGAACTGCCCCCAAACCATCCAGCAGCACCAGCAAGCTGAGGGAGTTTAAAGAGACAGTCAGCAATATGATCCACAGTAGACCAGCTCAGACCTCACAAAGCAACCAGAGCACTCCTCGTGGAAGGAGTGTCAGTGATCAGGCCGAGATGCGGTCCTCCAAAAATCTGCCTGCACATTCTCAAACCTGGGAAATAGAGAGTTCCAGCAGTGAGTCCAAATCCAGTTCATCTTGCAAATATCGGCCAACGTGGAGACCTAAAAGGGAGTCTCTGAACATAGACAGCATCTTCAGTAAAGACAAGAGGAAATATTGTGGCTACACACAACTCAGCCCCTTTTCCGAAGATGCAGGTAAGAGAGGAGTGGGGAGATATAATAATTGTGATGCATTGGGAATTTAGGTCAGGTACAGAATTTATCATAACCATTGGTATACTGGTAACTTAAAGTAGTAACACCAGATGTCACTTAACACATACTTCATCCCGTTGTTGTTGGTTACTCTAGGATGTTGAGGAGTGTCCTTGATGTGTAGAGGTGTGTGTATATATGTATGTGTGTGTGCATACACTATGCAGTATCTGTATTGCTTCTTGTGTTTCAATATAGTACTCTTTTATATTCCATGAATGTATAACTGAGGAGTGAAGCACTGTTATACACTCTGCTTAGCCTAGCTGAGACAGCATAGGCAATTGGGAATTTATTACACAGGACAACCATCTTTATTGGTCATGAATGTGATCTCCAGAGCTGGTCTGCTACCCCTCTTATCAGTGTATGTTTTTCATAGTCTATCTCCCTTCCTTCTGCTAATTGCAACATGTATGTTATGATATCTAAGTCTAAAGAAGAAAAGAATATTCCCTACTAGTCTTCCTGCTCTGAGTCTCTCAGGGTAACACAGACCTAGTAACAGCTCACAGTTTACCTGGGCCCACTTCTCACTGCAGCACAGTGAAGCCTACAGGTGAAGGGTGAAGCCCTGTCTTATAGGACTTTAAACAATGAAGTTCCTGGTGGAAAATGGAGTTCCTGGAATTCACGAATACTTTCCTAGCTTTCAGATGGAACAAAAAGCAATGCAGCTGTATCATCTTGTTCCCTGTGCAATTGAAGAGAAGATTCTTCTGACCCCTGCAGAGGGTCTTGAGGACAGGCATCTATCTGTCCCTTCTCTGAGCCCATTGGCTGCTGGAGCTACTCTTTCTTGGTTGTGGGTGGGTGGATTAACAAGTGAAAGAGGGGGAAGGGCAGGGGTGAGCTTTAAGATTAGTGGTTTGCACTTGGGAGGCTGTACTTAGGGAATCTAGTAGGAGTTAAAACAGGGGTGGGGAAGATATGGCCCACTGGCAGAATCTGACCTGCCAAGGGATTTTTCCAGCCCGTGGCAGATCCCTCAGTCCCACTTAGCCCAGATGTAGGAGGCAGCCCAGGGCATGGTGCATGCAGCTGGTTCCATCACCCATGCAGTGTGGCTGGGGCAGCACAGTGGCCAGACTGTAGTCATGAATGTGATCTCCAGGGCTGGTCTGGAGATCCTTGATTTGGATTGTTTAATCCCTGAATATAGAGACAGCACATTTGTTTCAGTCATTGTCAGGAAGCCAAAATATTAGTAAGTTAGCTTGATGGAATTAAATTTGACTTTTCTGCCAATCCATGTTTCTTCCTTTTGACAGGTAAAGAATTTACAGAAGATGAGCTGAAAGAACCAGCTCCTCCAGAAATGAAGCCAACCCAACCATATGTTAGATGCAAGTATGGGGGTTTAAGTCGGGGCACCCAGCACGTAATGGATCAGCATCCTCGTCTGATTCAGAGGATGGAATCTGGCTATGAAAGCAGTGAGCGCAACAGCAACAGCCCAGTCAGTTTGGACATGCCCTTATCAGAGAGCTCTAGCACCCACAGGTAGATGGTAATAAAATGTATTGTTAGATTTTTGTTTCTCTTACAAGCCTGCATACTGGGACCTCTGAGGACTAAACTGTAGTTCTATGGCTACAGTTCTTGTAGAATCTAATGTGGGTAGATATCAGAAAGAATAAGAACCGGAATAAGTTGTATCATGTACTGTTGTTGGGTCTGTAATGTATATGGTTTACAGTCAGTGAAAGGAGAGGTTTCAGAAGAGGTTTCAACAATGTAGAGAATGGAGGATAAAATGATGCATGTAAGGACAGAAGCCCTTTCTTTTAGCCACTGATGATAACTCAAGGTGCTGGCATCAGGTAGATTCTTTTGTTTGGAAACTGCCCCATTCTTTCCTTTTGAAGAAGTCATCTTCCCTTTTGTTTGTGTCTTGGATCATTTTCTTATGGTAAGAATTTTTGTATCAAGTCTCTGATTTTGGAGTACTTGTAAGACTCAGTGCCTCATGACTGTTTCTGCTTATAGACTTCATTGAGGGGTTTGGAACACAATGTACATAAATTAGTGCACAGCAGTATCCTTCTCAAAAAGTGAGAGTCATAAAGAAGAAAGCATGCTCAGGGATTTGCAGAAAAGGTTGCATCATGGCATTTAAAAATCTGTTGAAAAGTTAACTAGAGAGTGGCTTTAGCATGCTCAGGCCTGTTGAAGGTAACCAGTCACATTCAGTGTAAACATTATCTCCAGCTTCATAATTTCAAAGGAATGAAAATTTGTGCTGTGTTACCTGTAGAAAAATGGTTATGTGACACACCTACGATTGGTGTTCCATGTGAGCCATGTTCTGCAAGGAGCCACATATACTATCCATTCTTTCTGAGAGCTATTTTTGCAGTTTTGTATGAATGAGTGTACCTAGAACTAAAACCAAAAAGAACTGGAGTCTGAAGGCTCTGATTCACTTTTTATGATCTCTCTTAACAAACAAGGTTGAAGGTGCCATAGTTTGTGCTGATGGTAAGGGAAATTATTTTTTACACTTATGGATTCACAAACAAAGCTCAAATTCCACTGTCAGTACAACAACAAAATCCAAAGAAGTTATCATTTGTAGAGGAAAATGGACTCTTTCCACCCTACCCCAGATTTTCCCGTGATATCTCTTTAAAATACTTTCAGGCTTAAGACTCTGAAAGTAAGTTGAAAATTAAATGTTATTTTCAGATTGTGCAAATACATGTGTTGTAGGGTGGTGGTAGTGATCATTAATCCCCTGCTCAGCATTTTATGCCTCTCTACCTGTTTAAAAGGTGGGCCATGTGCTGACTTGTGTTTATTTTATTTTTGGAGGGATCCTTACATGAAGCGAGTTGGTGGACTGGTACCTGCCTGGCGTAACATCCCAAAATCTCACAGCAGCAGCATCTTGGAAGTGGAGTCTTCTTCATCAACCAGTGGTTGGACGAACAGCATTCACTTCATTGGGAATGGTAAAATACCTTTTTTAAATCCAGAGATCCTCAGGATGTTGCAGTATAAACTGTCCAATTGAGCCAGGTGCAAGGAAGCTAAAAGAAGACTAAGGAATCTGATAGGGCAGAAGTGTCAAAGGTATCACCTATGTAGCTATTTCATGTGGCTTGCAAGGTTCCTAGAGGGGCCAGAAATTTGGGGGCAGGGTGTGGGGTTGGGGCCCATCACTGAATTCCTAGTTACTAATCACATTGTGGACATGTGTTTGGAGGGGTGGGGGAAGCAACAGCTGTGTTAACCCCTATGCTGCTGCTACTTGCCTTGCCACCACTATCATGGTCCACATTTAGCCTAGGAAACAGGTGAGTTTAGCATCACTGTGTAGAGCTTTGACTTATTACTGATAAAAATGAAATGTGGTTGGTTGTCTTGTTGGAAAACTCTGGCATATAGTTTTCTCCCCCTTTCATCTGACTGCATAAGCAGAGGAAAAGACTATCTTAGTAGAGATTCCTTTTATTTTCTAAAGGTAAGGGCACCTATACATGTATCAAATGTCTGCTCTGACGTGCTAATCAGCACTCATTAATTAAGCATGCTACTTAACACTCCTTAGCACACTTGAGCAGCCTCCACATTATGTGTATTCAGCGTCCCTGCACTTCAAAATGGTGGTGGGGGTACTTTAACTAAAGCTCATCAAACTAGTTTTAGTTAAAGTGCCTCTGCCACCATTTTCAAGTGCAAGATGCTGAATATATGTGATGCTGCAGGTGGTTTAATTAGAGTGACTCTCGGAGCCACTCTAGTTAAAACACTTCTCCTTTCACCATGTAAAGATGCACTAAGACTTTACCTAAATTTGCAACAAATTGGTTGAAAAATACAAGCATAGTAAAAGGTCTCAGTTTTTCAGGGTAGGAGAGGGTTACTTCAAGTGACTCCCTTCTTCTGCCATGGATTGTTTGTTGGGTCAGTGGAGCCAGGAATGAGGCTATGCTGCAGGGGATCTGGAAGAAATACTGCAGTTTTTCTTCTACAGGCACTGATGTAGAGGACACAATTAGAAACCGAATTTCTTGAGGAAGGGAAAGGAAGCAGCCTAGCACACTCTTGCTTAATTTATATTGAAGTGTACAAGTTGCTCCCTGATTGCCAATAAGCAAGATACATTGCAGAAACAGCTGCCTTTTGGAAACAAAGAAGCTGAGAGACGGGAAAATCATCCTCTTCTCAAACAGGCTAAAAAGTCATTTTCTGTCAAGATTGTAAAAGTCTCATTTTGTGGTTCATTTTCAGTTATTTATTTGGTTCAAAAGATTCCATTTTAAGTAAATTCTTAGTGGACAGTTTCCCCCTATTTAGTCTAAGCTCCGTTGTCATCTAGAGAAGTAAATCTAATGCTGTTTGTGAAAGCTCTGAACTATGCAACTTGTGTCAGTGCTCAGCTCTGGGATTCCTAATGGTGGCATAAGAAAACGAGCAGCAACATTTATCAGTAGAGTCTGAACATGCTGGTACTGAGGTTATACCCCAGTGCACCCACCTGGTTTGGTATAGGCACTCTCTAGCGGCCTTAGAGCACATGCCCAGTTCAGACTGCAGGGCGTGTCCCTGGGACTTGGGTGTTGGGCTGCATTCACCTCTGAGGGAGGCCCCGACACTCACCTGCCATGACTTAGTCTTCCTTTCAGTAGTGGGACTCTCCCTCATGGAATCCCACTGACTGGGCACTGCCCTTTGTGGGCGTTCTTGGGGCTCCACCTCCCCTACACCTTAGCCATACGCCAGCCCTCAGGATGACCAGGTGGTGGATCGCTGGCCTGTCTCTTTCATGTTCCCTCTTGCTCTTGTCCCCTCTTGCCCGTCCCTCAGTGTTTCTCTTTGCCCCGGGTGTCTACGGGGTGTGGGACTGGTCCTGTTTCAACATCTGGTCTGACCTTATCTGCAAGAAATCACGTTTCACAGAGCTGCCTCTGCTCCTCTTCTTGACCCTGAGGGTCGACTGGGGATACCTTCCCTGGTTCGGGCTCTGGGTGTCCTTCAAAATGATAACAGAAAACAGAAAAGGAAAAGAACAGTAGGGGTTCAGGCCTCAGCCCACCCCACTCACGGATCTGGCGTCTGTGGTTGTCAGGATCCCTCAACACCATCCTCCTTGGCCCAGCTGTCCTGATTTGCCAGGTGTGTAGCCCTTTAGGGGAGCCGGGACCCTTCCTGAGAGTCCCTGTGGACCTGGTGATCCTGTCAAGTGGCCCGGGGAGCAGCCTCACCTCCTGTCTCTGGCTTAGCTGCTGCCCACCCTGTTTCCCCGCCACCGGCTTTTAAATCAGTTGGGTGGTGGTTTCCAATGATGTCATCCACTGTCGCTGCTCCCAGCCGCAAATAAAAGCGGCTGATGAACTGCGCTGGTAACTGTTTCATAGTTTCATAGTTTCTAGGGTCGGAAGGGA